CTAGATGATGGCCTCGAGAGCCGCCTCGGTTTTTGGATTCCGCTGAGATGCTGTGAATGAACTGATGAACTGGTTTTTCAGGTTTCGCCACGAGGTGATTGATCCTGGGGCGAGTCCTTTGTACCAGTCCATTGCCGCCTTCTTGAGAGTCGTGGGGAATAGTCGGCATTTGATGGGCCCCCCGACATTCTGGTAATGCAGCATAGCCTCGAACCCGTCTATGTGGTCGATCGGGTCCGCGACTCCATCGTACTCCTTCAAGTGCGGGGGTTTCTCCATGCCCGGGGGGATGTGCGCTTCCATGATAGCTTGCGACAGGGGACCGCGGGGGTCGTCCTCGTCGCTCCTCTCTGGAGACAGAGATGGGGACCTATAATACTGTCGGGCACGACGGTCCTGGTCGTACTGGGCCTCTCTCGAGCGTTGTACTCGTTGGTTGATTCTTACACGCCCGTCTCTAGAGTGTCTTCTTTCCTGTCTCTCCGGGTCGCGACCACGTCCTCCGGCTTGGATGATGGGCTTCCTCTCCAAAGGGGGCCGTTTCCCCGATGGGCGGGGTGACGGGCTTCGAGAGGTATCTCTGTAATGTTTGTGGGGGAGACGGGAGTTGGACTTCAATCACTCGAGGAGGTGGAGTCTGGGGCCTCTGATGCCTCCTCGAGGGTCTTCGGTTGTCTTCAAGTGCCCTCAGTCTTTCCCCTTGGGCGAAGATGAGGTAATTTGTTTGATTGATCGCTGCGAACAATGCTCGAGTTGTGGCGTCCGCCCCGGTGGGGACGGGGACTTCCTGAAACTGGGCAGCCTGGTAGTTCGCGAGAGCTGCATCGTCCTCTTCGAGTGGCGGAGGGACCGAGGAAGACGATGCAGTAGCTCCGTCGCGGTAGGTTGAAGGCCCGAGGGCAGTTGACGCAGGGATGGTGTTGTGACCGGAGTTGACGGCGTTGTCAAGGTGTCCGTTTTTGTCCGCGGGGCCGTTGTTGGTGTCGACGACGCGGACATTTTGTTCATCGCGAGCTTGGTCAGCCATGACAGTGGTAGTTGAGTTGAGCTTTGCAAGACGAGGAAGCTAGTTCCCCACAGACGGCGCCACTGATCTTACCTGATCAGACTTGGACCGTCACGACTGGCTCCAAGCTAAAGTTTGAACGAGATGGGGGGATACCTGCAAGGCACTCTGATGCTGAAGTAAGTGAGAGTACGAGCAGGCAAAAATATGAGTATGGGTAAAAGAATGAATATCTGACCCTCTGGGAACAGAGGGTATTTATAGCCCCCAACGCTGAGCCAAGGTCCCTTCATTGGGCCAGGCAGGTTTGGCCTAATGAAGGAACTGCCAGGTTCTACGTGTGTAGTGGGGACCCGCATGTGGTCTCCTTCCTGGATGTTCTGCTAGAAGTACGGACGGACGAGGACGCGGTCTTTTCGGGATCCAGGTGATGGTGTAGTGGTCAGAGTCTGCCCTACGAGGGACGCTCGAGCTGAGGTCGAGCTGGACTGCATGAGGGCGAGGATGGCGTACCAGCGGAGAGTGTCGGGCATGGCTATGGCTTCTTGGTCGGCGCGACCCCCTGCAAGGCCGTTTGGATTGGGCCTTCATCCTTGCTTTTGGGCCAGCCCGGCCCAGTCCAAAACAGAAATGATGGTATCAATCACTGTTTTCAGCCTATTTGCCAACACCTTAGACTTTGTTTGCGAGTTTGAAGGGGAGTGGAAGACTTTCAAAAACGAATTTTTAAAAAAAAAAGGAAAATATTTGACATACTTTGAAAAGATGATTTTGTATAACTAACAATTGGTATCAGAGCCGTGGTTCGGCTTGGTGGGGGAGCGAGAGCTGGATCCTGTTATAGGATGTGGGAACTCACACTTGTGGTGGAGAATGTTGGGTGCAAGTTGAGTGGTTAAAGTCTCACATTGCCTATGAATGAGTGAAATGTTGAATTATAAGAGAGATAACTCATTTACCTAACACCTTAAGATTTTGAGTTGAGATGTGGCGTCTCCCTCTCTTATAGTCCTAGAGCATTGGTCTCATTGGTACTCTCAACTCTTCCGAACTCCCCAACAAAAAAAGTGTTTATCATTACTATTTTTTTTAAAATACTATAATAAAATAAAAGATATTTGAAATATTTATGTAAGCCCTCCAAAATTCTCCCCCCAAATTAGAGAATTTTTAGTGTTATGAATAAAAACAAATCCTCCAAAATTCTTCCAATCAAAATCTTTCGATTATTTCCACTTAATTCTTCCCTTTTTCAAAGTTCCCCTCTCTTTCCTTCCAAACTAGCAAATAGACCCTTAGATAATATTTTGTAAATGCACCCTATCAAAGTTATTGGTTGGTAGTTTGAGATTCTAGAAGGATTTTTTTTTATGAGCACCAAGAATAAGCAATTTCCACTTTTAACCCTCCTACAGTTAGTGTGAATTTCCACCTTTGATAATCTCTCAAAACTCTTTTATAAACCCAAACTTCCTCTTCTACCAGATTTTTTAAAATTGAGGCTGGGAAAAGGTTTCGTCAGAGTAGCCCATTTACTTAGCCTATTTTTAGTTGATTCGTGTGATTTACTTATAAACACTAATTTTTCTTTACTAATGGGACTACAACATGCAGGAAGTATTACTTCTTTACTATCATTTTCTTCTGCTTCAGTTTTCTTCTTGCATGCTATCTGTGGGAGTGCCCCATATGTATAAATGAATACAGTATCGTTAGTCAAACTTATGTTGGTATGACTGCTGGATATCTAAGTTTTACGTATACTTCAGAGCATTTAATTTTATTATTTACTTCCCACATTTGATAATGGAGATATAATCACCTAAAGCTCTGCACGGATTTATATTCCTTAAACCATTTCACGCCCACTCCAACAGAGGTTTAATACTGAGAGCAAGGAGTGCAATACTCAAAATATTAAGATAATTTGTATGAAGAGTTTGGCATAGTAGTTTATGAAAGGTTTAAATTTCAAGCCTACAAAACAATAATGTGTGAGAACTTACATGGTGTGATAGAACTTAGTAAAATGAACAAGCTATTGTTTGGCACTTGATGAGCCCGCATCCAACAACCAAGCTTGTTGTAGAGTTTCACTCCCACTGCATTCATCTTCACCCTCCAATGAAAAATTAATCATGATGAGTTCATGGAGAAGAGGGAAAATAGTGTCATACACCAGACCTATAAGAGTCCGAACTGGCCACTAGACTATAGTCTACACCAGACCTATAAGAGTCCGAACTGGCCACAAGATACTTCGAATAGCGTCATACTTAATGCGAAACTTCAAGTCTGTGACAGTATCATTCTTTGTCATGCATGGAACTGCTGATAAAGTAACTGGTCCATTGGCATCACAAGACTTGTACAACAAATAGTGTGTAGTACCATTCTATGTGCTCTAAAGACCTTGATCTTAAAATCATCAGCACAACTGATCAACAAATATTTGATTCCATTCAACACTTCCATGAACTTTGAATCATAAACATGGAAGAATATATAGCACGTGGCCACTCGATATCCCAAGTCTTATTTCCCCTTTGTTCATTATTTCATTCAGGTTCAATGGTTGCATATGTATCTCCACTTCTACATGAAACACTGCTAACATAATTAGTAGGAAGGTGCAAACTCATAGCTAAATAAAAATGCATACAGCACACATAATTAGTGTTTTTATAATGGTCATTACGACACGACATGGCCGTAGTTCAAGATGGAGGTATGGTGTCAAGGTGAAGAGGAGGATAAATAGTTAGGAAGCAAAAAATGGTGATAGGAAGAAGATGACACCGTGGGAGTATGGAAGGTGAGACATGCATGCATGCCGTGTTGAACCCACCAGATGGATGATATGCTCTGCGTCGGATTTATATTTTTTTCAACTCAATGGCTTTCGGTGTTTCAACTTCCAGTTTTATGGCTTTCAGTGTTTCAACTCAATGACTCTCTGATTGAAGATTTTGTGTGCATAATACTCTATTAACTTAGTGGAACAGTTTTCTAACATCCATTGTGATGTAGGTGAAAAGGTGGATCAGTGGTGTAGGAGAAAAGGTGGGAGTATGGAAGCATGTATTGAATATATGAAGGTTCGTAGTCCCACATCGGTTATTATGGAAGCAGAATAAGTGTTTATAAATCAACAAAACATATGAGCTACGGAATTGAAAGCATTTAGAGAGTATGTGGACTGCATTTAAACTCTAAGTTGGCGAAAAGACCAATATATATTGTTTTTATAATTAAAAACAATTTCCAAAAAACATTAATGAAATTAATTTAGGAAAACAAAAAAAATTAATATAAAGATGTAAAAAATAATAATTTATTTTTATAAAAATATATATATGTAAAGAAAAATAATTAAAATTAAATAAAATGCCATGTGAATTTAAAAAATTAAGAAATACTACCTAAGACTGCCACTTATAAAGATTCGATTGCACACTCATCGCAATAGTGACAATAGAAGACATTAACCCTAGAATTTTCTTATTCTCTTTAAAATGGTAAATTAGATTACTCATTTGAGACTGATAGAGTATTTTGAAATGTTAATGAGACCATAAAATCATTCTCTAAAGACCTAAAAGACTATTCAATGCATTGAAAATTGATTACGTGAGGTAAAACACATGCTGCAAAGTTGTAGACCAGCAAATTGATTATTCCCTCTGTTCTCTGCAGAATTATGCAGCAAAACAAAGCAAAAATACTAGCTTCAACACAGAAGCTAATGAAGATATCATCATGAAAGAATAGTTTGACTCTGGCAGTTCTATAATCAGACATAAATTATCATCTTACTCATTGTAATACCAATTTCATTATGTTGTAAAACTACAAAACTAATCAGAAATTTAGATAGCTAGCAGGCATGGAGCAAATATGTCATAAAAATTGTCCGACAAAAATTTCCATCTTCAACCCTTGTAAGGGAAAAGTTAGATACAAGTAAGCTAGCTACATTCAAAATGTTTGTAAATCATCCGGCTTTGGATGCCTCGCGGATAGATTTTGGTTCTATGTTCTTCCTCAAAAATTCAGACAATCGTTGAGTTGTGGCACGCCCTCGTTCTAGGCAATGAAGATAATTATCCACTAAAAGAAAATTAAACAGAAAATTAATTATTATATCCAATATTAGCAGTGCTGGGAAAAATGGAAACATAGGGAACACTTGGCATCAACATCTCTATTGAAGCATTAACTTTGACTTTAAAATAAGTGTAGCAGAATACCTGACATAGCACCATGTGTAACAGATGTGATGATTCCGTGTGCCGTGGGATCACTGCCCTGCAATAACTTCTCTGGTACGACAGAAACAGTTGTGTTTGGAAAAACTAAATAGGCAAATGCTTTCGCTTTCTGCCAGGAAAAAAAAAATACATTGAATTAGAACGGTGCACAAGCAACATTGGATCAAGGTTTCCAATTAATGAATTTGTTTATACAAGTGGGATTTGAAGATATAAACAACTATGCCACATTTATGGGCTGTAACCTAAAAATACTATTGGCAGGGTTGCACTCAAGTTTGTCTAACTCATGAGTCTACTCGGGAAATAGATTTGGGAAAGGTCCGTAGACTCGACTGGTACAGTCGACTCATAAGAGTCTGAAAACTAAAAAATAACTTTATAGAAACTTGAAAATGACACTTGTACATGATAGAACAGCAATTCTCATAAAAATTCCAATTCCAAACTCTAAATTTAAGTTTTCACTGAAAAAAACTCCATAATAAAGCAAGCAAAGTAGCAAACGGAACAAGCTATAACAAAACAAAGGGAATAAATTAACATTGCTTCAAATTACAGAACAACAAAAAATTGAAAACAACATAAAAAATCAACGCTATTTTTAGAGAATAGGGATATAAACAGTAAACCAGATCACTCACAAACAATAATGCAGAGACTTGTGAGTAACACAAGCAGTACGCACTCACAGCACAAAGAATAGAGCAACAAATTGAAAGATCGGCATAAATAAGCAGATCAACAGAACAGAACAGAACACAACACAGCATAAAGAACAAAGCAGAAAACTTAAAACAAACCAGGAGAATGAACACGGAACTGCGAGAGACGCAAAGGTGCTAACGCGAAACGACAATAAATTGTGGCGGTGCAAACCAGAGATGACAAGAAATATGCATTGTGAATGGGAAAAGGGGAAAAGGTTTGTTGTTCATATGAGATTTGTAACTTCTAAAACGAAAGGTCTTCTAACTTCCTTTAAAGCTTTTTTGGTGAAACAGGGCCCAGCGTGTTTTGGGATTTTTTTTCTTCAAAATCACACCAAACTCATAGAGTCACCTCAGACTCGCTAATCTGTCCAAGTCTGTGAGACTATCAAAGTTTTTACCGAGTCTACCACAAAAACAAGTCTAAGTGTGAGCCAACTCGTTTTAGCCTCCTAGACTCCGAGTCTACGAGTTGAATCACTCGCGAGTCTGAGAACCATGGTTGCACTAAACCATACATTGTCTATTAGATGCATATTCTACCCCAAAAATCCAAATAGTTAGTTTCACTTACACATCTGAATATTGGTTTAACTTTTCAATATTTTAATTGTATGAGTATATCATAGACAGGATCAAGGGAGACTTCACAGTTAATATACATACAATTATCCAACTCAATTAGGAAGCCAACTATTTCTGGTATGCAAAATTGTGTCACATAGGGCAGTTTTATTTTTATACTACACAAAAACTACGAAATGGATAAGTAAATGCCCATGGTACTAATGAGCTCAGCATTTTTAAATCAGAAGAACACAAAATATAGAGCCATGAAGTTACATGTCAATAGCAGAATTTCATCACAAAAGAAAGAAATTGCAACTCGCCGTGTGGTAATAAAGGAAGAATTCTTCATTGCGGCTTATCACACAACTGACACAAGTAGAAGTCAGAATAGTAAGATCTTTAGTATAGTGCCCCACCCAGAGGCACTGACCATGAACTCAATCAACCCTCATTTCCCATCAGCATGTATGACAAAACCCACTCATCCAAATCAAGACTCCGCACAAAATGGGAAAGAGGGAGTAAAATCATGAAAAACTTAAATCACACTTAAATACTTATATAAATTAAAATGCATTCATAAGCATAGCTGCATTATAGCATAAGAAGTCAAGTAAAGTCATGCAAACTCATAACTCATTAATAGGGTCAGAGGATCAGAATCACAGAAAAGTTTCAAAAGATCGTAGATTATAAGATTCAACGATTTACAGAGGAGATTCCACCCAATTCCCCCAAAATAAGATTATGTGTATACTCTTAATCGCTGAGCCTGAGGGTAAGCATAATCGCAAAATTGCAGACCGAACTTTGTTTACCTAACTGAGTTCACTAGAAATAAGGAGAAAATAAAAAATGCTTTAAAATTGACCAAAAATGAATATACAAACCTTCTCTTCTTGTTTAGAAGGGTCCAATATAACACAATTATCATCTGTTACAGAACAACATATTGCAACTGCAGAAACAAGAAGAGAAACAATTATTTCTTAACAAAATAAAATCTTAAAAGTAACCAAAAAACAATAACCAACAAGTATCTACTACCAGCGAGATGTTTTAGGGGTATTCCGGCATCAACGAGTGCAGCACATGCTGCGTTTATTGCACATGGAAGAAGCTAAATATTTAGTCAAGAGAAAAAAAATCAAATGATCTAGAAGAAGCACATTTATTAAATATATTAATCTCATTAGGTCTCCACTCCGTGATAAAAAAAACTCAGTAAAGTGCATAAACAAGATGGTAGAATTGAAGATTTTCCAAACAACAATAAGAATCTTAACGAAAACAATTACCACTACATAGATGATATATTAGAAGTGAATGTTTAAATAGGATACAGCACCATCATCATGGACAACCTGCATTAGATCCAAAGAAGCGAGGTAAGAAATAAAATGTTGTTAAGTTGAAGCAGTTGGTGTTTATAAATTAGAGGGACCCAAAATCTTGCCTGGATGATAACAGAAGTGGTGGTGTTAGGATATATGGTACGAATGCAGATGCTTTCCAAGGTTTTCTTCAATATCATTTCATACTCCCTTTCTGCTTGACCAACATGGCCTGTACTAGGCTTCCAAATAACTTCAATGGAAGCTTTTTCGGGATTTTCGTTCTTCTTGGCTCCTGCTTTAGGTCCGTAAACTGCGGCAAGGAGTTTGGTTTCTCCTTGAGACCACGTGGCCGAGCCGTGGGCTCGGTGGAGGACGGAATGTGAGCAAGCTAGAGGCCTCAGTTGATTGGGAGTCCTTCCGTCAGGTCTGTCCATCTCCGTAAAATTGATAAAATAAAACCACTCCTTGTTCTGAACTCCGGTCAAAATTTATTGAAAAGATAAAGAAACTAATTAAACTTCTGCTTAGTCACGTTAACAATAAACCCTATAATGTATATGTATCAGTAAATAAGGGTGAAGGGAATATTGAGGAAAAACATCGAAAAAGTAAAAAAGAACTGAAACTGGTGTTAACAGACCTGTGATTCTGAACGGAACGGCAGTGCAAGTGAGAGAGAGGGAGCGACGGCGCGGCGCGAGACGGAGAGAGAGGCGGGGGGCGAAAGAGAGTGAGGCTGTTTAGTTCTATATTCGTTTTCCCTCTTTTGTTTCTTTCAATAGTTCAATTCTTTCTGAGCCATTTTTTTGGATTAATATCTATTTTGTCCATTCATTTGGGTGCATTTTCTCTTTCATTGCACCCCAAAATTTTCCCTCTTATTTTAATCAATACATACTCCTATAGATCCTTAAGTTGCTCATGTTTTCCCAAGAGTTGACCAGACAAACTCTCTCGTAAGGCAGGGTGTCTTAAATTAGGGTTTCCATTTTCATAAAGATATGTGGACTCCAAAAACCTCATATGCTCTCCATGTCTTAATATGTTCTCAAGACCCTACATGTCAAGTTTCATGCCTTGCACAAGAAGTTTGCTCAGTCAACTGCTCAGTTGCTTGAGAATCGACTATATTAGGTTAAAAGTCAAATGTGACCCACATACAGTCAAACTTTAAGATTTTTGGTCAACATTAAAATTTTGAAGTGAATTTCATAATTTGATCAAGGGTTGATCATGATTCCTCAAGGAATTCTCCAAATTCATCAAAACCCAAAAGTTGCTAAATTAGGGTTTCTCAAAAAAAGTCAACCAAACTTTGACCAAGCATAACTTCCACATGCTTTATCAGAAATTTTCCATCCAAAGCTCATTTTTAAGAGGATGCAATTCCCTACAACTCATCTTCAGCCCACAAGTTCAAAATATGCACCCACAAAAATATATGAATTTCTACATTATGGATCCTTTTGAAAAGTCAACAAAAACACCTTTTGGGTCAAAGCTTCTTACATGAACATGGAAGACTCAATTGAGATGAGACCAAAAAGGTTGCTTAGGGGACATCCTAAGCTTTCTAAAAAGTTCAAGAACACCTCTCTAGGGTTAAAATTGGAGGAGATATGCCTTGTCAAAGTTGACCTTTTTTTGCAAAATTGCCAAAAGTCAAATATGCTCAAAAATGCATTTTTTTGCCAAATGGACCTAACTTTTTATGCTTGCACATCACTCATAACATGGTCCACGACCCAAATATTCACCCAAACATTATTTGCTTCATTTTTCAATTTATTTTAATTTTTTATTAATTAAAAATTGAATTAAATCAAATAATTGGTGAATAATAGCAAAGATATGTTTTGATTTGATTTTTGGACAGGTTGGCAATCAAAATATGCTGAGATATCAAGACCAAAATGAATCAAGCATAATTGGTACAAGAAATGGATGATTTGGCTCAAAATAGCAAGTTTACATGTAGCATGGAAATCAAATCAAATCTCTCATAATTACGAAGATTCAATCCAATTTTATAACCCTAATTCATTCTTAGATATATATTGGACATGTACAAGGCATGAGACAAGGTTTTGCAGTCGTAGAAGAGAAAGAACAAACTCAAAAAAGTGGATAAAAAGTGTGACTCAGTTTTCACTCCACAGGGCCTTTCAGAGCAATTCAAAGCCAGCAATCGTATCCTGGAGCCTCCCTGAAGCCAACTAGATCATTTGCAAGTCTTATATCGCCCATAAACACACACAATCACTCCCACGGTTTGCTTATTTTTTTCAAATCGATTATTGAATTTCTTGCATCATTAGCATATTTAAGTGATATATTTGTGATCATTGATATGTTTGCAACCTGACTGGATGATTTAATTGTGTTTTTGACGCATATACGTGCTTGTGCCATTACTAAGGTTTTCGTGTGCGTTTTAGGGGTTTGTCACACAGGTTAAATTGGGCCAAAAGAAGAACACCATGATGTTCACTAGATCAAGACGAATTGATCCACATAGTTGAAAGTAATTTATCACGTGTCTTGTGCATTTTGGAAATCTGCAGGGGCTATAGCTACAAATGCTCAACCGTAGGTAAAAGTTATATACCTAACACGACGATTCCAGGAAGAAGAAGATATGTGGCGTGATTCCATTGTGCCGTTTGAATCTCGCGCGCGTTTCCCACTAACTCAGTTATTTTGTTATATTATATTTTGTTTTTATTCTATGTACAACAAAATAGATTGGCCTGGTGGTAAGAGCGCTTGGTGGGGAGTATGAGGACCTAGGTTCGATCCCAGGTCTCAACAATTTTGTTTATTTTGCTTTCACTGTACAGGATCATGTGCATCAACCTTGCATGTGCCTTCCATACTCCTCAAATCATCACCAATGGATCACAACCTCTCCAGATCTAACGCATAGCAACGGGGGATCTACGGTACACCCTCCAGTCAACACCACAGGAAATCAAGCGCGAAGGGCTATTGGGCCTGAAAATCCAGAAATACACCCCCCGTTCAGCATAACACAGGCCCATTTCTTCCTTTTTTTTCTATTTTTCTTATTTTTTAATTCTTTTATTATTTTCCTTAATTATTTTAATTAATATCAACAAATATTTATTATTTAATCAAAAATCACAAAAACACAAAAAATATTTTTCTCATGAAATACTTATTTCTTTAATTAATTTAATTAGAAACTAGGATAATTTAATTCTTTTTTTTTAATTAAAAATAATTAGAAACTAGGTTTTAAATTTTATAATTAAATTGTTTTTCTTAAATAAAAACCACAAAAAAATACATAAAATCTTTTTTATAAAATATTTTATTTTCTTGAATTATTTAATTTAGTTTAAATTAGGTTAATTGTACATAACCTAATTAAGTATTATCTCAAAAATAACTTAAATATTTTTTCAATTAGATTTTTAGGGTTTTCAATTTTTCTCGCATTTAATTTGCCGCGCGCATTTTAATTTGTTTTATTATTATTGTAACTGCTCCGAGTTTGTAATATTTTTAACTAGGTTTTAATTCTGCATTTTTATTTTCGGTCAAGATAATTATGTAACTGCCAAAGCCTTGTAATAGCTAGGTTTATTTTTCGCACTTTAAATTCCTGCAAATATTTAACTGTTAGATGCATGTTAATAGGATTGTATGGGAAGAATATCTTGAAATTAAAACGGTAGATCACCTAATGTGCAAAGACTAATTAACTGAAAAATTCACATGCATATGTTCACTCCTAGGGTTTACCTCACTTTGGTTGCCTTCGGTAAACAATCATTAAGCATAGAAGATTTTAGTGGTTTCCCTCCTGAAAGATCAAAATATCCCATTCGAATGTTGCCTCGAAAATATTGCCTCGGAAAGATCTTAAGAATATAGGGTTACTACTAAAGTTTTCTAACTGTTGCTTTAGTGACTGTACTTGTCCCTTTCAAATGTCCCTTACAAACTCCAACGACGGGGCTACCTACTCCTTAATAGTAGGATAACGCTGTCTAAAGGAAATGAGAACGAACAATCTTTTTTTGAGTAGGTAGAATCTTAAGTACTTGCTCAATAAAAACTTTTCACACAAACACCTTTCAAAACAAATTTTCAAAACAAACTTCGTCACATCCTTGAGGACTGATACAAGGGTTATCACGAAGTAAAACATTTTCAAGAACAAACAAGCACACACATAAGAAATTTGAAAAATGAGCAAGTACCTAAGAGCCCATGGAAAACCATGGATAGAAAGGGTGCTAACACCTTCCCTTTCTATAATCTACCCCCTGTACTCAGAATATCTCGAAAAAAAGTTTTTTTCTGTTCTTTTTCCTTTTCCATGATTGGATGAAATAAAAGTCGGTGACGACTCTTGCTTACCGCGACATTTTGTGAACAAAAAACGTAAAACGCAAACCATTATAACAGTCGGTTCTGCCACCGTATCACACCCTGGTACAAGATAGGGTATGTGAGGCCCATATTAGTCTCCTACTACTATAAATATAGAGAGCACTTGTCATTTTATTTCATACCAAAACACAATAAACTAGAATGAACATCATTTAGCGTGTTAGAAATGTTCACTTTACCGGTGTTACACCATCAAGAGAATTTAAATCACTAAGTTCACCCCTCTTGAAGATCTACAATACACGTTGCAGGAGCTTCTACCATATGGCGACAATAGCAAAATTGTGAAAATCGAGTATCACTCGCCATCCGTTGACAAAAAAGATAAGTTTAAGTTCAACAAATATGAGTTAAAGATGGCAACTAATTTAAGGGCTATGTGGAGAACCTTTTTCTGTTTAGAATCAAAAGTTGTGATCGAGCTAGATGTGACTGTTTCGAGATCCATCAATGATATTATCAAGATGTTACGATGTCCACCTAGATATTGAAGTATAATGTTTGATTTATGTTAAAATCCCTTGATATTTCAGTAAATTTTTGGTGTGTTCGAAGATACATCTTCAATACCTAGAGACATTATAATATTTTTGCGCGACGCGCTAGAGAAATATATGGTGCATTAAAAAAATTCCCTTTTTTTATTGTTGCAGTTTTTATATAAGTATTTGTATTAGAATACAAATAGAAATTTGGATCGGAAAATTTTTAGTTGGTCCAAAGTAGGGGTGGAAAAACGGGTCCGGCCCGTTGGGCATGCCCGTTTTACCCGCACTTTAGTGCGGGGCGAGCCAAGAATTTAGGCCCTCACCCTCTAATATGACCGTCTCGCCCCGCCCCGTTTTCTTCGTGGGCTTTTGCGGACATGATTATTAATATAAAATGTTGCATTTTTAGGCCTAAAAGGTGCAGTGCCCGCAAGCTTTCCTCGTCTCGCACTCACTTTTTTGCGGCACGAACCTAGATTTTAGGCCCTCATCCTCAACTCTGCCCGCCCCGCCCCATTTTTTTACGGGCTTTTGCTGGACGGGTCTAAACGGAACGGTCATGACCGTTTGCCACTCCTAATCCAAAGTATATAAGCCCATGTCTCAAATAGCCTTAAAATGACATAAGAGGGTGCAACGAGGTAAGGTTGACCTCACGTGGCGAGCACATGCGTGAATGTCCATATCTCTTTTCAAATAGCATAATTAGATTTAAGAAAGCTATTTCATTTAGATATGATGACAGAGCAATGTTACCTAAAAATGATATAAAAGTTTCATTCACAGCTTAAGAGACATGTTCCGACAATCAACATGTATTTATATTATTTATTTTTGATATTTTTGGTTTTCTAGCATCAGAAACAGTTGATCTTTTACAGAGAATTCAAAGACTTATGAATAACAATGATATATCTCTTAGATCTATGAATATAATTTTTTTTTAAAAATTTGGCATCCAAAAATGAATAACGACACGACTTGTTATCCATTTACCTTTTATTTTTACATAAACTCATTTACTTCAACAATCAATGAACCATCAATGATTCATATCAATACCAAGGATAAGAAATCTATACATGAGACCACATACTAATATCTCTATCTCTCATATACTTTTTTCCTTGATACACTTTTCAAAACTTGACACACTTAAAAAACAAAACAAAACAAAGGACACCCTATAGTGTCCAAAATTTTGATGCCAAATATGATTTTCCTAATTTAAAGCACATAAAAGGAGGAGGGATCCAAACAATGTCAATGCACATATAATGCCTTTCACGATTTTGGATACAAATAAATTTGGTTTATAGAAAACATTTGATTAGATACATAATCTTTGTCTCTTTTTCCATTATCTTCCACATTAACCTATGATAAATATACTATCAATTATAAAAACAATTGTCTATCTATTTCATCAATCAAGAAACCTCACAGTTTTAAACAGATCAACAAAGAATTATGCTGAAATGATGCCAAGAAAAGAGAATTAGAAGCTCTCGAATATAAATACTTGATCAATAGTTAATCTTCATCAAGGCAAGAGTCCAATTGATTGTAAGTGGGTATATAAAATCAAACATTATGTTGATGGCTCCGTAGAAGGTACAAGGCCGAGTTGTTGTAAAGGATTGCACACAATTAAACAGTGTAGATTATTTTGATAATTTTTCACCTCTAGCAAAGTTAATTACGGTTACAACTTTACTTGCCCTATCCTCTATTAAAGGTTGGTTTTTAAAGAAATTAGATGTTAATAATGTTTTTTACATAGTAATTTAAATGAAGAAGCTTGGACTATTGGATGTTCATAGTCCAGGTTGTGGAGCAGTATTAGAGTCACAGAAAATAGCTTGGTTTTCAAACACAGTAGATAGATACAAAACAAGGTGACATTGCAATTTTTCACATCATGTGTACATTTACAACCACACTAATAATAATTCAAGAGACAACAAACAAAGCCACAGATTTTCTACATGCATAACTTACAACATACTATCAGTAAGAGCAGGCAACCTCCTGAAGAAATTAACCGGCGCCGGTGGTAACTTCCCCCTTAACTTAGGGTGCCTCATAAGATAAAAGCCAGCCGCAAGAAACAATATCTGAGAAGGTATCACATACAACACAATTGCAGCCACAAAACAAAACAACATAAATATAGTTGTTGCGCGAGGATCCCTCCAGTTTAACAATGCATGTAGCCTCTCACCTTGTGTTGCTATGTCTCCAACAACACTTTGAACCCTTCCTGCCAAACTTCTCAACCGATCGTACCTCCAACGAACTATATCCTGGCTTTTCTTTGTTGGAAACGGATCAAACTCTTCGTCGAATTCGTCTGGATTTGTTAGATCGGTGCAAGAAAGTCTCGTGTCCATGTGTGGAGGATACCTCGGCCGAAACCTCCATTTCCATAGGCCGATTATGAACATGTAGAGAAACATGGTTGGTAGAATGAGTTGAGGGAAACAAACAAGCATCATGTAGAGAATGTGGACTAATACTGTTGTGACAGAGTTTTTCCATGTTGAAATTTCCATTAACCAGCTTCCAGCTGATATTAGTCCTGAGAAAACTGATTTCAGACGGTTTATGTTCGCCTTGCTTCGTCTCATGCTCCATAGATGAGAGTCTGTGTCAGACATGTACTCAACTACTTCTTTTCTAAGAGGTGGTTCTGTTCTGCTAAGCCTGGCTACCACAATGACCATTGCTTGGAATTTCATCTTCTCTTGTTCGAAAATGTTGAGAGGTTTTGTGTAGTGCATCTTTGGCAAATGCGGTTTGAAATACAGATTAATCATGTTGGTCATTGAGGTACATGAGAAACGGATGGCTAAATGAACCTCACCCATCTTCTTGAGACCGGAACTTTGCAGCGACAGTAAAGGATAAGAATGTGTGTAAATACGTCCGGTTTCCAGCGTTGAGAGCCTTATCCGAACCTTACCGATGTTTGAATCTTTGCTGTCATCGGAATCACTAAGTTGTGCATTGTCAAACACACCAAGGGTTAGAACTGTGGATGGATCATGAACTTCCCAAGTGTACTGCTCGTTGAATTTCGGGTTTAGACTGCCCACGACCGTTCGAGTTCGCACCCATTTGTGACCATATTTTGCCACACAGTATACATCTGATACCCCTCTTCCATCTCTAGTTTTGGTTGGTTGAACATCAGCATTCAAAATTCCAAGTTCCAATACACCAATTGGCTTCTTCCAAAGTTGTCTTGAAGTAGGCCTAAGATCACTGCTATAATAAGTTGATTCATCTAGCACATGGTAACCACCATCGAGAAAGACGCTAACATGGATTCGACTCGCGAACCTGTTTTTTTCCTTGTCCTTCATTTTCTTCTCTCCCTCTTCCATTGCTGATGATATGGACTTTGCAAGTGGATACCACCTGCTACGGATAGATCTGTCGTCAGCGCGCTTTTCAACAGAGCCAAGAGGAATAACTATACTGCCAATAATCTCCTTCTTTTCTTCGACTGTTATGATCAAAGGTTCTTCAAAAGGTTCAGCAGCTACAAACAGCGTACTTTGATCCCACTGCGGATTATTGGCCCTTGATTGAACCGTTTTTGTCCTGAAAACCTGGTTACCATGTTGCACCTTAACAAAGGCATCCACGGCTTTAGACTTATCGTCGGGTGAAACCAAGTCTTGTGCCTCGATCACTTTCACGCGCAGGTACCACAATCTTGGCGAAGTGTAGACCTTAGACCGAATCTGAGCATAGTTAGCCGAAAAGCTTCCAGTGGGGGACATTGCATCAGAATGCCAAGCATCAGGAAAAGCCTCATCAGCTTGTGTGCCATGCCAGACAGCAAGCATTATCTCTCCGTTATTCATCATATCGCCGTTTTTGTTCACAATTCTATACCATTGAGGAGCCAGAGGACTATTAGGCGGAACGCGTATAGGAACATCATACAAATCAAACCTCACAGTTCCAACAAGATCATCATGTATTGTGTCCTTGTCTTTGACAATAACTTCAAGACTAGTTGCTTGTTGATTGTCCTTGGCAAATGCAAACACCTGGTTCCATTCAGGACTTTGGTTTTTCTCAAAGTGAGTTGTAGTTCCTTGGAAGTTTCCGACCTTAACTATCACATAGGGATCAAGGCTACCTGTCAAATCCTTCCTTGGAAGGTCGCGAGCTTTCACAACTCGCGCGAAAAGGTACTCCATCGGTTCCACAAGGTCATAGGTGCTGCTAGGACGAATAACTCTTCCGCCAACAACTTTTCCACCTCCGAGAGAAGGGCTTGTCTCTTTCAGTACATAGTCCATTGCAGCGCCTGCAAATGCTTTAACAGCATTCGGAGCAGACTGTCCCGATTTCATCTCATGCATCCCAAATGCCACACCTGATGATTTCTTTTCCTTCCCATCACTTGACTTTGGAAGGTTGTGAAACGTGTGCACTGGCTCCTTTTTCTTTTTCAACACATTGTTGAGGATTTGACTTGTAAATGATGCTGGTATCGGTATTTCATCTTGTGTAAGGCTTTCATCTGTATTATTAACGAATCCGTCGAATATTGATTCTTGCATAGCAGGAAGAGGGTTTGAGGCTCTTAAAGAAGAGTCAGCTGTAACGAATACCTTCAAACCAAGTTCACCTTTCGTCCCCGAGAAAAAGCCTTTCTTTTCAAGAGGATAGTGTAACACAACTGCATCAGTATACGAAACAAACGAGGTTCCGGTGAGCCTAACCTTACCGATTGGAGTCTTGGAGCCATTGCTTTTGTTGTTAAAGTGGTAAATGCAAGCATCAAGATTGAGATTCGGTAAATTGCTTGGATCTGTGATGTTGAAATAAAAAATCTCATTCCAAATTGGACTGAGATCTTTATATTTAGTTGTTGTGCGAAATTTCTGATCATCAAATTGAAGTTCTACAAAAGTAGTAGATGAACCTTGTCCATCTTTGGCCACAAGGTCATGAGCACCAATAACTTCAACACCAAGTTTTAGACTGTTCATCGAAAGTGCCTGAAAAATAAGAGTCAAGAGTAATAAGTATTGTATCAAATATGAATTTCAATAACCTTGTAGTATAATATACTATTATATGGAAAACTTAACAACCAAGTTGTTACAATTTCTGTATGTTTTCCTATTAATCAAGTCAAAGATGCATTCTCTAGCACAATAATAGTTGTTTTGTGAAACACTTTTGAGGGCGTGCATAGCAGACTACCGTACATGATCCAAAATTTATCACAGTTAAACTATAACTAAATAGGGTCTCGTAAAAAGCCGCAGTTAACCTACAAAGGGTAGTTATGTTTCCAAAAGAAAAGACAACATGAAGAAGTAGATAATAGTTGATCAACAGAAAAGATAGTGATCATATTCATAACATAATATCTGTGTACAGTTGGAAGTTCATTCATCAAGTAAAAACATGCTACTTACTTGAGTAACAGATATCATCATGGTTTGACTTTTTTACACAAAGGCATGAAATTTTAAATATGATTTGATCTTATTTTCTTACCGGAATAAGCTGAAATCTTTTGAGATGCATAAATTAGACCAGATTATGAATCTTATGTATAAAATAAATAACTCATGTTGTGAAATATTATTGATAGACAAGGAAGAAAACCAAAAAGTCAAAGGAAAAAGGAGTTGAATATTGACGTGTTAAACAAGTCACACCTCAAACACAAGCAAGAAAGAAGATTTGACAACATAAAATCAGACCAAAAAGCAACCAATCCCGAAACTCTCTCTTACCAAAAGGTAAGACAAGAATATAAATAAACCTTTTGTATAGATTAAAAAAAGTGAAATATAGAAAAATAGTTCACATAGTAACTGAGCAACAAGTTGAAAGGGGTGAAGAAGAAGATGATGAAACGTACGTACTAGGGTATGATTTGAAGAGGTTAGAAAGAAGTCAGAAACGGTACGGTGTTGTGAGGTTGGAACTTGGAACTATAACACATAGAGAGAGGAAAAGGAGGAAGAAAGGAGTGGGTTCTGGGATGGTTCGTAAGGGAGAACGAGTCGTGAAAATGACATGCTTTGACTAACCATTTTGATCATAGAGATATAGAGTTGTGATAGTATTACTTATGAGAAAATGTTCGTTTGTTTATGTTTCTTGTGTTTCTTTCTCTTTGCTTAGTTTAAGAGGAGAACAACAACAACCACCACCTCGGTCTTAGCTTCACTTTTTGTCTCAACTCTAACCGCGTTAAAATATTTTAAAATATATGTATGTAATTTATTGGTTATTAATTTTAAATATAGTCTTCTTATTTTATATTTTGTAATATAGAGATTTCTTTGGTATAAAAGGAACCGTAATTTTATTTGTAATATAGATATTTCCATGGTATATAGAAGGAAACTACGGTTCTCTAGTCTCTATCAAAGAGTCTCCTTTTTTTTTTTATAGAGATTTTTTTGTGTGTGAAATATTCAAATATTTGATCATCTGTTCTCTTAATTCAATATGGTATTAGGATTTTATGGTCTTACATCAAAATATTTTACTATTTTCTATTACTCTTAATGTAACTATGCTCTTGTTAAATTCGTAACCTCTTCTAAATCTCATATATAATTTATAAATAAATAAATTAAAATAAAAATACAAAGACATCACACTTTATAAAAACACACCTATCTTATTCCGAAATACGAATTATAATAAAATATTTAACTTTTCAAACATACATATTCATAATGTTTATACGACATCAATACTCATATGAAAATACTACAGTAAACTCATCATCAAGAAATTTAAACATAAAACAATAATATACTAAGTCTTGAACTCCAACTTTAATAACATCAACAAAAGTGTCATCAACTCTCAATTCAAATCATTTTAAAATAGTTCAACAACTTCAATAACTTTTGCTTTTAAAATAAATAACATAATAATCAAACGTCAACCCTAACCCGATGTTACATAAATCAGAGCATAATTCCACTATATAAAATAATAAACTGAAGAAAGTCTCCAATTGCTAGTTTCCACTTACTTCCACGAAATCTATTCATGAGTCACTACTACAAATAACGCTTCTAACCTCTAACGCAAAATGTGTTTTACCTCGGCAAAAGAAATGAGGTAAATAAGATCGTCATAAAAAGTAAAGACTTACCATCTCGGTGTTTAAAACACTTAGGTATAATTTTATTAACGCATGGGTTTGAACCTCAGTAGTAGCAAATTTTATTATTTTCAAAACTAGCATATATTTTATCTCAGTTTATAAAAATAATTGAGAGGTATGATTATTTATTTTTTTAAACAAAAATTATTACATTGTTTACACAGAGTATTACATTGTTTACCCAAAATATTAAAATTAAAATAAAAAATAAATTCTCTAGGAATCTAGATAAAAATCAAATTCCCTAAAGATTTTGACTTTAGATCTTCGAAATATTAAATCTAGGTGAAGATAAAATGTTGGGTGCAAGAATATTCTCTACGGGTTTTGCATGCATTTGTTTCTGGTAAAAAAAAGGGTAAGATAATTAATATCAATAATCAGAAATATTTTCGGTACAAAAAAATTAATAAAATAAACCTTGAAACCAAATGATTTTCTGCTCTTGCAATCTATCGTAGAGAACTTTTCCAAACGTCCTTAGATTTCAATCGCTTCATATGTTTCATTTAGGTTAGATTTCCCATATCGTAAGAAAATTTATATAATGGATGTCCCTTAAGTTTTATGTGGATCACTAATGACTTATTCTTGAGCATTGATAACATTTAAATGAACGACAAAGATTTGTTTAAGGCCGTTGAAAATAGTGAAAAATAACACGTAACTATCCTCTCAGTTTTGGAATAAAATCGAGGGGTTAGATTAATTTATTTTTTTTTATAAAAATGGTTACATTGTTTACCCAGAATATTAAAAATATATTGCATGCAACAAATCTTTGCAGAATATCAAGATTGTTTACCTATATTAAAAATACAACATGTCTAGGACCCATACAAGATGCTAGAGATCTTTTTCCCATAAAAATTTTTATTTCGCTGATATCCATCTTTTGATAAGTTAAGCTCCCATCTCGGTTTAACCTTTCAAAGGTCGAGCTCCCTTCTTTGTTTAACTTAAAGAAAGAACGACTTTCTACACTTGTAATCTATCAAATGAGCGAAAATACAACAATAATATTTTTTCAAAAAAATACAATACCATTTTGTAAGATAGATTACAAAGGCAAAAAAGTTTTGTTCTAGATAGAAGAATATTGAAGATTTTTTTTGTCTTGCAATCTATCCTAAATAATGATGCGAGTTATGGGAGACTTCATATTAGCATGGGTTAGGGTAAAATATAACGATTGCTTTTATAGTAAAATCTGACCATTATACCCCTCAGTTTATTTATAAAACCGAAGTAACGTTATTATTATTATTATTATTATTTTTTTAACTATCACCTTGGTTAAGGTTAAAAACCGAAGTAATAGTTATTATTATAATTTTTTAATATTACATTGTCTATACATAATATTAAAATAAATTGTTTACAAAAATCTCTTCAATAGTTTTTATGTACTTGAAATCCATTACAAAGGTTTTGATGCTTGAATGTCAGAACTATGCATCCAAGATTGATTGTTGATACTATCATTATCACTACCTTCACTAGTTTATACAATGTGTATGCTATGAATGCATCCTACTTCTAATAAGGTGTTTGTTTCAAAAAAATGAAAAATATTTTTTCCACACTTGTAATCCATCAGTAAAGACTTTTAGGAATAAATCATAGTTGTTCAAAACCTTCAACAATAACAGCAACATCAACAATATTGTTTAAGATGGATTGCAAAAGCTGGAAAATATTTTATTCAAGGTAGAAGAACATTTTTTCAGTTTTGCAATTCATCCCAAAAAAATGATGCATTCGACTGTGGGGCAACTACAAATAAGATAGCATTAGAGTAAAATATGTTCAACGAGTGATTTTATAGTAAAATCTAATTACTTTATCCCCCAGGTTATCAAATAAATCGAAGGGTTAGATAATTTATTTTACACTTTTAAACAAATAAAAACATAAAGTGCGGTAGTTAGCATTCAAATCATGACCAGAATGGTATATGACCCCTGTTTTTAAAATAACCGAGGGAAGAAGTTTTTTTTATAAAATAAAATAAAATATGATGCGCCTTGGAATAAAACCTTGTTTTTTATTTTTATTTTAGATGACGTGAAAGCTTTGTCATGAAAAACATTATTTGTTGTAATGAGTATATGCATGTTACCCACGTGGAGACAACATTCGAACCCCGAATCCACCCTGCTCAAATTTGGAACAAGTTAATCCATCCTACTCGGATTGCATCTTGCCTCTTTCATCAACAACAACGACATCATGAATGCATGTCAAAACACGTCAGTGCAACAACAACATACTATTGAAAGTCCCTCCTGATAATAAATAACATATGCATTGACCCATGATAATAGTTCACCCTACTCGAACTATTATCCCGCAACACAATAATAATATCAATATCATTCTACATTTCAACATCACATACACACCACCATCTAGCCACCGCAATAATATACTTATAAAATCAGCAAGTATTCAATATAAAACACGAAGGTGTGAAAAACACAAGAAAGAGAGGTTTGAATTGGATATTTTAAAACAAAACCATTCTTTTAAAAATATTCCCCTTTAAGTTAAATTGCTTTTCCCTTCACTCTTGATAATAACAATAAGTAAGAAAAGGAAGTAAAGAATAACATATGTTTATACTAGTTCACTTGAAAATTATCAAGCTAGTCTAGTCCACCCGCCAAGGTGATTTCGCCTCACTCAATCGAGGATTTAATTCACTATAACAAAACTGATTATAATTTACACAAGCTACCTGCAAGTGACTAACAACTTCTAAGACTCACAAGTCAAATACTTCTTAAGGCTACATACCTACCCGGTCCCTTAAGGAATATCAAACAATAATCAACCTGATTA